ATACTCCCTTCACCCTGGCCAAAAAGGCTAAAATGACCAAAGAAAAAGTGGAAAACAGTTAAACATGAGAGGTTTTTGGACAAAATTTGTGTTTTTTCCATTGTTCAAGCACTGCTTCCAGCCAAGAGTGATACCATATATGCCCTATAGCTGCTAAAAAGGCTAACATTGATATCTTTTTACAAAAAAAACAGCTAAACATGAGAGGGTTTTTGGACAAAGTTTGTGTTCTCCATTCTTTAAGCACCGGTTCGAGCACCGTTTAAGCACCGGCACTGTTTCAAAAGTACCGGTTTGGCACCGGTATCGGATAAAACCTAAACGATACCCATCCCTACTCAAAACCAATCCGATCCAAATAAGCAAAGGGAAAAAAAGCCTGACCTGGGGACCAGGCCAGAACACAGTAGTTCAAAATTTAAGCTATCATGTCTGTAACTTATTATTACTACTAGTTGCTTGTAGTGTTTCTAAATTTCTTTCAAAACATTCTATGTTGTACAACAAATTATTCTAATTTCAAAGGGAAAAAGTGCATAGGAAACACACATTTAAAATAATACAAAATAGCTCAGCAGTACATTAAAAATACACATTGGCTTGAGACTTATCAAGTTTCAGCTAAGTAAAGTGCAGGTGAACGCACTTAATTTCACGTTGCTAATACTTAGTGTGCAGAACTATATTTAGCACCATGAGAAAAGTGAACATGTGCTAACATAACAATTTCGCACAAAACCATATATCAATACCACAGTAATGTGAAATGAACCTTTAAATAACATTTCGTATGAAGTGCAGCAGACTCAATGCTAATTGCTTTAGCGTCGGAAAAGGCACTTTTATTGCAAAATGTCTAGCAGAAGTTAGCATCGGAGCTAGCAGCAAGTGGCATGCTATGGTAGCGCACATGCACTCCTTGGACTTACCATGTGAAGCAACAAATGCTACACGGGGCTTCACAGAGCTCACGCTGGCTCACGGCCTCTGGAATACAGTATCACTCTTATTGTTCTCGCCAAAAAAAGGACTTTCACTACCCAGCTAGCTTCTTCGCCGCACGGGTAAACAGATCTTTCACCGTCTCTGGTGTCACTGTGTCTCTGGCGTATCTGACTGGCGCACAAAGGCACACACAGGTGTCCGAGCAGCGCACACAGACTGGGGGAGGGTCAAACCAGCCAATGATTGTTAGATCCACTGTGCGACCAAACACACTCTAAGGGACAAAGTCCTGCCCCCACACCATTTATATATTACATATACATACGTACATATTACTTAAACTTATGTTTACATGCTTTTTATCAGTATTTATTATATTTAACTTTGTTTTTATCAATATTTATTCCCATTGTGAGAGTATGAATATTTATACTTTTAATAATGTTTTTAACATCGGGTTACATACTCAGTACTCAGTTATAGCTCATTTATAGTTTTTTATGGAGTTTTTGGTGTGCATTTGTGATATGTCATCAGATTTAAAAGGGACACAATTAATAAACATTACTTGTTTTTCAATACATTTGTGTTGGTTTGAAATTCATCATGATATGCTGCTTAATGGTTGCTAAAAAAATATCTGGCCCAGATAAATTCCTTGGTTTGACAATCTGGCTAACTAACAGGTATCAGGCTGCGATGTTCTCCTTTATAGTGGACAGAAATTATTTTTTTTGGAGTGACACACAGAATTTTTGTGGCATCTTACTGAATGCAGAACACCTGGTTGTTATGTAAATAGTTTGAAATTGTTATAAAAAAGGGTAAAATATAAATGGCTGCAAATAACTTTGTTGTTTGCAAAACTTGTGCATATGATTTTAAAATTGACAATTTATATTTGCATTTAAAGTTATGAAATATGATTCAATAAACATGTTTGTGGTTGTTACAGTAAAAAATATAACTTTCTACTCTGATTTGATGTTTTTTTGTCTGATTTGAGATCAATTGTGTTAATACAGTATGTCAAAATGAAAACATAACTGTATATTCAGACACACGAGGTTGTCCTGAAAAGAATGATACCAAACAAGGCAAAGTAAATAGTTTTTAAAGGAAAAATATAGAGGTCAAATCAAAAGTAGTTAAAAATGGTCAATTATGCCCTGGACCCCAGGGTTAAACTCTTTTTTTTAAAAAGTAACGCAATAGTTACTTTCCAAGTAATTAATTATTTTTAGAATCCTGTAACTCGGTTGCTAACTCAGTTAGTCACACTGGGTATAAAAGAGAAGCTGAGACACCCCAAGGGCAGAACACTCATTACTATGAACCTGTGATGGTTTGATGTGTGTGTTTGTTCTCCTGCATGCAGTAATAAAATAGTTTTACCACAGCTGACTGTGCTGCAGACTTTGTTTACAGAGAATTCCATGATATAATCAATCACACTGATCAGTGATCAATCATTGTTTGATTAGAATGAATCACACTGATGGAAACGTGTGTCACAGGTGGATTTTGGAGATGATGTAAATATATGAGTGAAGATGAGGCTGAAATGACTTTAAGACTAAAACTGAAAAACATTTTAAAAGCAGCTGCAGACACTCTGATTGTAATCTTATTAAATTTCATGATGAAATGTAATCAGGTTACAGCTGGATCATTAGATTTGAAATCAAATGTAAAGTTAGGATTCATCTGATCAAAATTCAAGCTGCTCAATGATGAGCATGGACATTATAATAAATTATGGATTTTGTATAAACTTTATTGAGTCTGTGATGATGACAGAGTGACCCACACTGATTCAAACTCTTTTTCCTCCTGTTTTTATATCATGCTCAACACTGACATGTCTTAATATTCTGCTGATCTGGATTCTCACCGAGCCTCTGCTCTTTATTTACCCATTGTCATGGTGAATCATGGTATCCATAACTCAGACTGAGCATGCTCAGAGCTAGAGCTGGGCGATATAAGATTT